AAAATATGTAAATACCAAATATGTTTACAATAAAATGGACAAGCCATATTGGCCTGACTGCGAGTTAAAAAAAAAAATAAAATAAAATAAATAAATATCTCCTTAATAATTAAAAAAGTCTTTTCATTTTTAACTTTAAAATACAATTTGTAATTTATTGGTTAAGGCTAGTATTACAACTACAAAGTTTTCTTTGATAAATCTATTAAATTTTATAGAATTATCTAAGATATTTTCTAGCTTCCAATATTCGATTTGACTTTGTTTTAAATGAATTATAGTATTAATACTAGAGATAGTATTATTGCTAAGTTAACAGAATAGTAATAATATATGATTTTCTAGCTATATTTTCTAGATTTTTTTGAATTTATATATCTTTTTATTGTAAATTCAACTATTTGATATTGTCCTAGTCACTCTTTCTACTAATTCTCTGATCATACACAAAAAAAATGTTCATGATAAATTTTTATATTTCTTGACTAACAAAGTTTTATAATTTTTCTTAAACCAACTTGAAAGAATCCTTCAAGAGACATCTTTATCTCCCTTCTTTCCTCTTGTAACAATCTTCTTCAAACAAAAACCTGATTTTCAGTAACAAAAGTCATAAATATACTTTTTTTATCAATGGCAAGAAAGTTTTGAAAAGAAGAACTAAAGTGTTACTATCTATTTACTTGATAGAAAAACAATACAAAGCTTTTCTAATGATGAGATACTTATCTTGAAGAAAATCACCCACTCTCTTGTCATGTATTGCTCTAAAAGTATTCTTTCTTAATTTTTCTGAAGAATTTTGTCTATTTCAGTTTGACCTTGAATTTTGAATAACACAAAGTTTTTCAAGTAGTGATTGGTTAGTAAAAAACAGGTCAATAAAGGAATGTAAACAAGCTCTCATTGGTCACTTCATATATCTTAATACAATTTCTCAGTACACATAAGAACCTGGAGTCTACTATATGTTATATATTATAGTGTGAATGGATACAAAACACAAATATCTATGATGTCATTGGCTATACAGAAAGAACACTACTGGATTAGGACACACCAGATAGAAAATATCAGCTTTTCACTTCTCTTTTCCTATTTTAATGAACTCAAGTAAAAAAGAAAATGACCTTATGGAATAGGATCCTTTTAAAAAAGTTTTGGATATCTATTATCTCTTCTTTGAAAATATATCTATTATTTTTTTAAACAATAAAGTACCTTTCCAAGAACAGTACTAGTTAACACTTTTTTATAAAATTTTTGGTTAAGCATTAATGAAGATTAAGGCTTTACATAAGGAATTCTCAACATCAGTGGTAATGGATACTTCAGGTAAATTCTTGATACATTAGCTCTCTCTTTAGGAATAACAATAAGCTATTTGGTGGATTAAGCAAGATCTATATCATGTTTCTAGGGAGTGTCTAAGTGTAAAATAGAAAAGTAATATAGTTTGTGCATCATTCTTCTTATTATTTTTTGCATTTTGTTGTTGTAAGTAATTAATCTATACTAGATAGTTATATAATTATCTTATCCTGGTTGTGTGAGACAAAAATTGTTAACTCTTTGTACTATTTGTTAATTTATAAATTCTTAGACAGTATGGATAATTATTCATCCCGGTTGTTCCTAGATTTTTTACTTACTCTAATAAAATACATAGCACATGGGTACAAGGATGAGCTGGCATCTTAAAAAAAAAAAAAAAAAAAAAAAAAAAAAATTTTGATATTGTTCCATAGATAAGGACTTTTTTTAATTCTTTTTTATTTTAATTAAAAAGATTTAGTTTTAGCAATATATAAAAATGTATTGTTTACTGCATATACTGTATATATTAAATAATATACTGTAGTTTTTAGTTTTTTAGACCGAATCTTATTGAATTTGTTGATTCACATGCTGCAATTTATATTAATAGTCAAGACACGGTAATTTGAATGTATATTTATTGAAATATTAACTGTAAATGTTGTGAAGGACACGTAAAGGTGCGGATGTTTTCTTAACAAAATTTACAAAAGGACGATTAGGTGAATTATTTTTCTTTTTCTTTTTCATTTTTTACAAATAAATATTATTGATTACTATAGTTTTATTTTTATAGTTTATTGTGCTGCGGCTCTCCTTTGAGCTGCTCTTTTTTCTGTTTGGGCTTTGAAACCTATTTATTGTGTTTAAATTGCGAAATTAAAATCCGAGAGGTAAAAAAACAACTTAATAAAAAAAAAGTACCTGTTTTAATCGTGGAGACTGATCGCATAGATCCGCAACTTTCGCATTGTTGGAAGAAAATACGATTTTCTTTAGTTAAGATCGTATCGGGAGACTTGCAAGTTTTGCACGTAACATACTCAACTAAATAGTTATTTATCGAGGCAAGATAATGTTTATTATCGTGAAAAAAATTTTTTTTTTAAAAAATAAAAAAACCAACCGATATATCTTCGCAAAACATTTTCGAGTTGCTTTTGCTGAAAACGTCCCTTAATAATAAGTCGCTGTGATCCATCAATTGAACCACTCGTACCCAATTCAGCAAATAGAAATTGAATAACATGTTCAGGTTGCCTGTGCATTCTATAATAATAACAATAATGAAAAAGGTCAGAACTTACGCAAATTCTAAAAGAAAAAGCTAAATCATTGGTTTTTATATTACTTCTTGCAAATGTCAGCAATATTGGCAAAAATTGTTTTTTTGTTTCCTTCCCGATGAACTGATGGTGGTGCGATTGTATACCGCTTCTTTTCCCCGGCTAGTTCCGGGTTATTTTGCCGAAGGATGTGGAAAACCCTACCCAAAAGCTATTATTGAATTGACGACAAAATTTAGATATTTGTTCCCAAATCTGCAACAAAATCAAACTAATAAGCTTACTTCTTGATATGTGTAATCTCTGTCAGAATTAAGCCAGGCTTCCTCAAACTTTGTTTCTTTGTCAGCCTGCTCATTTTCTGGAACAAAGAAGTCATCTTCTGCTCGAACCTCTTTTTCCACTTCATCATTTAGTTGCTCTATAAATTCGGTCATGGTTTTCTTTTTCTTTTTCTTGGTTTTTGGTAAATCGGCGAAATCAGCAGGTTCGGCAGGTGCCTCTTCTTCAAATTCTTTCTAAATTTATTAAATCAATGATAAGTATATTAAATGACAATAAGAAACAGAGGAATTATAAAAATCTTGCCTCAGACGGTTCCTTCTTCTTTTTCTTCTTTTTCTTCATGTCACCGAATATTGACATATCATCTTCAGCCTTTTCTTCATTTTCGTTTTCATCAACTGGGGCTATATCGAGAATTTATAAGTGTAAATTAAATTTGAAAAAAAAAATTTTTTTCAAATCAAGTAGTCCATTCTATTTAAATAATTTAAATAATTGCCATTCTTTATTTGATTTTCACCCTCCTCCTCTTGTTCAACTTCATTTTCGAAAGCAACTTTCGGTTTCTTCTTTTTTTTCTTCTTAAAAGCAGGATCAAACAAAAACTATACAAAAAATTTTTGGTTATAACTTGCTAATATATATGTACAATGATAAATACAATAAAACATACTTCTTCTACTTCCTCAGTTTTTTCTTCCAAATTTCGATCGTTTTCTGCGTCGGACATATTGCTCTTAATAAACTGGCAGTATAAAATGTATTTATTATCTTTGAATAAACATCAGACCGATCAAGTATTATTCTTTTATATAGAGAACCATAGCTGTTTAATCACGTGAGATCTAATTGAAAAATAATATATATGCGGTAGATAGCATAGTTTATATCATTCTATACTGTATACTTTTAAGTCAATGTGTTTATTATACTTCGAGCATTATATACAGTATATAAGATTTATATAAGATTTAAATTAAATTTATTATCTATTAGCAAATTCATTTTAAGCTAAAGTCTTTAAGTTTAATTATAGAAATTCCATTAATAGAGTACTTTAAATTTTTTTTTTTTTTTTTTAAACGGGCTTATGCCTAACTTTATTGGATCCCAAATTACAAATTTATATTGTGCAAAGCACAAATACATGGATGTATATTCGGGTAAGATAAAGATAATGATAAGTTAAAGTTATTCTAAGCTACTTCGAGACTTATTGCCCTTTCTTTTTCCAAAGAAAAATCAACATCCCTAGAGTGTGCTGGTGTTATAAATGAAAATAAAAGAAATAAAAGAAAAATGAACAGTCATGAGAAGTATATCGGTTTTGTTTCTTGATGCATACTTGTTTTGTTCAAATTCCCCTCGTGAAAAGGTCTAGGGGAAGACTTCTATTGAGTCTTTTATAGAAATAAGGTGAAGGCTAAAGAGGAGACTATATAGTTTTAAGGCTTATGGGGAGGGAGTAACCAAGAAGACCCAGGTTATATATTGGTGTCCACATGATCAACTTAAAAGTCTTCCAGTATATCATCAATTAAACCCATTCCTATTTAAATATGTGTATACTTACCCATCTGTACCTCTTATTTTAGATTTAATTCCTTATATGAAGGATAGCACCTAGCCTTGCGGTCAACATACCCTGCTGGTAGCCATTGGTACTAACAATCAACAAGGATCTTTCAAACATTTCGGTCAGCTCGCACATCACTGCTGACATTTTCGAACTCGAGTTTTAATTGATGTAACGGTATTAACCTTCCAGTTTTCCAGCTTAGGATTTTTTTAAAGATAGGACAAAAACTTCATGGATTACTTTGCGCATGAGCTTTACCACTGAGTATCCTAAGTAGTTTCCTGCTTTCTTTAATTTAGACTTTCCGGGCAGTAGAGGTTGGAACCTACCTGATATACAATCAGGAATAGGTGGCTTTGATTTTTAAAAAAAAGCAATCTAGTATCTTGTGATCTTTACCATGGTCAAATGGACTCTTTCTTATATCCAATGATGTGTCGGTGTCATGTCCTATATCTACCTGCACCAGACAAAATGACTTATGATGGACCCCAGATTCTTATGGAGCTGAGGAAATCCATTCAGACATGTGAGGTGGCCAATGGGAGCTTATTTATCAATCTTGTCCAACGTGTTTTACATCGATCAATTAGAGTTGATAAAATCCGTACTACTCGAAATTTCAGGATCAAGCTGGGATAGGCAAAATTCCCCAGAAAGTCGTGAAAAAGGTAGCTCTGAGAGGCCACAACACTAGTCAAAGGATAAAAAATTGAGTCCTTTATCTGGTTTTAAACCTCTGTTATCTCCACCATAACTAAGAGGTGGAAGGTACTTCACTGTTGTCCTTTTCCCTTTAGGAACTTTCTTGCTGTAGGTAGTAAAGATGGGAACTGAACTTTTCAGGTCACAAGAGTTCAGTTTGTTTAAAGGAGATTGTAGACAAGAGGGAAAGGATGGTTAAAGAGTTCTAGAAGAATTCTTTAGGTTGGTTTAAAGAAGGTAGTAAGACTTTATTAGCATAAAAGTATTAAAACTTCTTGCGAACATCTTTTTGTATGTAGTCAGAGGATTAGTGGAAAAAGTTGTCCTATTTTAAATAAAAAATTCTTTTGGTAACTTATATTATTATTATTATTAGTATTATTATTTTGTTAAGTTAATTATACTTTATTAAACATTTGTAAGCTGTATATATAAATTATTTATATATTTTTATTTGGTTTAAATTTATTAAAAAGTTTATATAACTAACTACAATATTACAAATTTTTATAAAAATAATCAACTTATCATTATATAAGTATTTTAAGTCAGATTTAAAAACAATATTTTATTTTCTTAAAAAATTGATTTAATTTCTATCTTTTAAATTCATTATTAATAGTTTATTACTATTGATTAACTCAAAAAACCATAAATTATTAAGTTAAAAGAAATATAAAATAATAAAGAAAAAACAATTCAAGATTTTTTCAAAAAGATAAATAAAAACAATTTTCTCTTAAAAAGATTTGCATAATTAAAATATTCTTTTTATTTTAAATTAAATCTTAAAAATTTTTTTCTTTATTAATATTTGCAATATTTAAATAATTAATTTAACAGATTTAATATTTAAGCAAATATCAAATTAAAATAGTTTAAGAAAAATAAAAAAGTCTTAGTTTTGTTTAATAAAATATTTTATTATCTAAGAAATTTAATAAAAATAAAGATTTACAATTCACATTACTTATAATTTATTTTTTAATATTATAAATATATTATTTAAAAGATCTATAAATCAATAATATAGTGATAGTATTTCTAGGTTACAATCACAAAATTTATAGTTCAATACTACTTAAAGACTAAAATCAAAAACTATCTTCTAATCAAGTTTATTGGTTATTATGTGAAAATTATATTTAATTATCTGAAATAAGATTAAATTAGGTTAAATTGTATAAAAATAAGATTTCTGATCTTTCGTCAATCAGGAATTAAGATTTATAGTCATACTACTGAAAGGATTGCATAAAGAAAGACTTCTGGTCTAACTTTCTATAAATATTCCAAGATCTCTTGCCTTGGCAGTTTTTAAAACTTCATTTTTTTGGCTTAAGATATTTCAATTTAATATTCTGCTTAATTAAAAATTAATTAATAGAAACTTATAGATACCATAGATAGTAACAAAGAAGATAACGTGCCCTCTTCTGAGATCTGAGGAAATAATATTTGGGAATATTAAAGAGTGTTATACATCTCATCAAGTATATATAAAATAGAACCAGCTTAATAAAACAATAAAATTCTTATAAGCTCAATACTAACTAGCCTAGTCTTGCTATTAATGACTATATATTAATAATTGAATCTCTAGTTAAGTCTATTTATTTAAAAAGTAGTAGTAGATTTATCTAAGATAAATCATGATAGATTATCTTTTTTTTTTATTTATTTATTTATTTTATTAACTACAACTGGTATTAAATGTGAATCTTTTATTAAGAATTAACTTAAACTTCAACCTGAATTCTTTGGCATAATACCAATTATCTCATACAAATTATATCTTTCTATATATATATAGATTAATAATAATCTAAAAAAAAAAACTCTTTCTGCTGATTCCCAAATTTTCAGAAAATTTCCTTTTTTGGTAATTTTTTGAGAAAAAGAAAAACCAGCCAAAAAAACAAGAGAAACCAAGTAAAACCACCTTTACAACTAAACACCTTACAAAAACAAGTTCAAGAACTCTTTACAGAGTACAGAAGAGGTAAGTTTTACAAAAATTATTAACTTCTACTATATAAATTTTTTCTTTTAGAAAGAGAAAAACAACAAGAAAGACTGATTCACAGTAAGCTCTTGGAAGCCCAACATCAACCTCACAAAGCTCCTAGTCAGGTCAGTGTAGGTTAACACCTTTCTAGACATCAAGAGAAGCTTTACAAGTAATAACTCAAACCGATAAATCAGTCCAAGTCCAAATACTCATAAAACCTAGAGGAATGTCCAAGCTTTATTGACTATACAGTAAAGAAGCATACACAACACAACAATAGCATTTCAATAATATTACGTCATGCAAATACAGACATGTATATTTTTCACAACAAGCTCAAAGACATGTCAAATAAATAACATTAATACACTTTCTACATGTTTACGCAAATCAATTATCGACAATCCCATAACCTCACGTGTTTACACAAATTGATTATCAACAACCTTATAATTCCACGTGTTTATTATTGATTGATCAATAATATAAACAATACCATCACAACATACACGTACAACAAATATTACCAACACATCACAACAAATAACAAGGTTTTTCCATATTACCAAAATAATAATAAGGAATAAACAAACCTGTAACATGTATTTAGGAAAACATAGCAATGATCATCAGCAAAATACAACAATATCAAATATAGTCAACTTACTTCTTATTACATAATCAACATGTCTATGAGAAAACACAAGCTTTTAAAGGTTACTAAGAAAAAAGAATCATACATTATAAAGACCTTAGCTCAATTATCAGACAAGTATGATCAACAATGGAAACTATGGGCTACACAAACCCTTCTTAATATTACTTCAACTTAAGAAGTCACCATGAACCCAACTTAATACTCGATTATAGATAGTATCATTGCTAGAATCCTAAATATCGATTATACCACCTTTATTAAAGCCAACATTCTCAAACAACATATCCTTTATCTATAGATCAAAGGACAAGGAAAAGAAGAAGATCTTCTAGCTCCATTTTTAGAGAATAAATACTTGAACATAATAGAACAAGCTGAATAAGTACAATATTTTTCACAAAATATTATGTCAAGTCAGTTAACACCCGAAAACAATCTTCTTATACATAGCTTATCAGATAAGGCAATCACCATGGAAGTTCAAACAATCACAACAGTTGAAATCCCAAATATTATTGAAATTGAAATGAGAGATAAGGAGCTCGAAGATATAATCGAAATGGAAGTTATCAATGAGAAGATTAAAGAAAACAATATAGCTGAGCAATATACATATAAGACAAGAAATAGACCAAAGACATCTAGTATTAATCCCTTTCATATCAAGACAGATAGTAAATATAAAATGGATGTATTTACTTCCAGGCTTCCAAGAGAAACCGAAACAAAACAAATAGTATATTTGTAAAATATATTAGGCTTGCCAAAAGATTTTCA